AAGCCAATCCCAGAGCAAGTCCATGAAGGCTCATGGAGCCCCAGCTGCAGTTTTCAGATTTAGGTATGTATAGAATTACAATGTGTCTCTTTTCGTGCTATTTAGTTTAGGGATGTTTTTGCATGTTTCCTTGTTGACAATAAAATTCAGTTTTTCAGAGTCAGTTAAGACAATTCATTAAGTTTTCAAATGCACACAGAAAAGCTGACACAAAGAAGTAAATGTTTTAGCATGTACAAAATGTTTCTACTGTATTACCTAAGAAGCAGTGGTAAGCTGACCTTAATGATAATTCAAGGATTCTTTATTGTGCACGTAGCAGGAACTACTGAAGAAAAGCCTTCCTTTTTCATCAGCACATGTGCCCTTTTGTATATGCATTAATTGGAACAGGAGATAAACAAGCCTGTCTCTGTTTCATAACTGAAGATTTTGTATAATGCATGCAGATGAGTAATCTTGCAGGAGAACATATCTACCCAGACAAGCTGGAGACTTCTGAGTAATTACATTTGTGGTAGTGGGAGCGAAAGCATCAGCAGAAATGGCAGAAAAAGGAAATAGAACATGGCGTCACCACAGCGGTGTCTAACTGCTGAGAAGATTAACACATCTCAGAGAGATATGTAAAAATGATATGCTGGCAAGAGCCCAACACACAGGCATGTACCCATGGAATTCAGCAAGCTGAGGCAGCAGTACACTTGGGTAATTGTGGTCTTTCAGGGGTTACCCTCTTTAGAAAGCAATGTGTACTGACCCAGAAATGTTGGGGACCCCTTCATACACACACCCAAATAGCCTATCCTGCTACTTTTTGGGAGCCTCCTGCCCATTCAGCTGAATGGGATTATGGACCTCTGCCTTAAAATCTTATCCTAATGGCTTATTAGCATATATCATCTATAGTGGATTATGTCCAGTACCATGCAGTGCAGAGATTTTTTTAAAAATATTTTTAAAACTTTGAATTTAAGGAAACTTCTTCAACACATCTGCCAAGAATACCAACCTCACCAACACACACACAAGTTGCAAAAGATTCTGCAACTTGGACACAGATTTCCTGGAAAAGATGGATTGGCCAGAGGTCTTCTAGGGAAGTTCATCTGCCAATCCTGAACTTCTCAGTGAGGAAAACTTGCAAAGTTTCCAAGTAACATGGAGGTTTCCTGGTATATATCTTGAAATCACTGTCTTAGTAGGGCTGCATATCTTTTTATGTTTTAAGCTGAGAACATATTTATTTTAATTTACAGTACATAGCAAACATACTTTCTGTACACTGTTCAATTGATACAACCAAGTAAGAGACTGCCTTGCAATGGTCATTGGATAATTGCACTGATCATTTGCTACCAATCTTAAATTTGGTCCATTCTAAACTTTGAAAATTATTTTTGCACAAAAGAGCATAAGTATTTTTGTGCACATGTGTATGTTTGGCTTAACAGACAAGAAGTTTTGCAAGAAGTTTTCTATATAATGCATTGTTAATAATGTTTCCTGTAATATACACATTTGTATGCATTTTTGGAGGACACCATTACAAAATCTGGAGATGTGTGACTGTACAAGAACAGCTGAGTTTCAGTCTGCATAATGGTTCAAAAGCACAAAACTGGGTAAGTTTGTGTAAGATGTGAACTGAGCAAATGACTTCCCCTGGGCAGCATGACCAATACATAAGTTCTTTTATCATTTTATCCTTGAAGTTTTCTATCATCGTTATTCTTATACCTTCATATAAGTGCTGGTTTATTTTCTGTAGGTGCAACACTAAAGATGGACTGACTGACATCTGTTCTTCATTACTGTTGGCTATCATTTCAAGACTGCCCAGGGGATGGTTGACTTGGTCATATTGTAGAACCTAGGAGGTGCTCAGGGACAAGAAAGCGGTTTGGTTGTTTTCACTTTCTTTTGCCTGATGACACAAATATATGAGGACACTTAACTGCTGTAAGGACTGCATCTCATGGGCCTGTGTGTAGTTTGAATAGTCATTCCACAGCCAACAATGAGGACTGCATATAGGTGCGACTTTCCAACAGAGGTGGCCACCCTCTTCCATGGGATTCAGGACATGGAAACCAGAGAGCTTCAAATTCACCTTGTAAATGCATTTGTTTCCATTTGGATTGAGGCAAATATTACTTTGAAAGAAGATACGGACTTGATACAGATTCAAAACTACAGACCAATATCACATTTAAATGTGGATTATAAAAATTTTACTTCTGTAATGGCAGAAAGGCTGAAGAAATTCTTAACAGACTTTATACACATAGATCAAAATGGCTTTCTACCTAAGAGACAAATTAGAGACAACGTGAGGATTATCCTGGATATTTTAGAATATTATGAAGTACATTCTGAAAAATCAATGGCATTGTTGTTTCTAGATGCGCAGAAGGCATTTGACAATGTCAATTGGCAATTCATGAAACAGCAATTAGAACAAATGGAATTTGGTGAAAAATTTATAAATGCAATAACAAGTATTTACCAAAAACAGACTGCCAGGATAATAGTTAATGGAGAATTTGCAGAGACTATAAATATACAAAAGGGCACAAGACAAGGATGCCCCTTATTGCCATTGTTATTCATACTGATCTTAGAAGTTTTAAATAGAAGTGTTAGAGAAGACATGGATATTAAAGGTGCTAGAATCAGAGATGAAAGCTACAAACTCCAAGTGTTTGCAGATGACTTAGTTTTTATTTTAGAAGACCCTTTGGTAATGATGCCTAAACTCTTAAAAAAAAAACCCAGAAGACTATGGTGAAGTTACTGGGATGAAAATAAATAGAGAAAAGACTAAGCTTCTAGTCAAAAATCTCTCACTGGAGCAAAAAACAACTTTGATCTACATGTAGATCTACAAATAGTTAAAAGGTTAAATATTTGGGAATTTCTTTAACAGCTGGATGTGCTACATTGAAAGAAGATAACTATGTTAAATTACTTAAGGAGATTAAGAGCCATTTAGAGAAATGGGCTAATTTACAATTATCACTTTTCGGAGGAATAGCTATAGTTAAAATGAATATACCACCTAAGCTTTTGTTTTTATTCCAAACAATTTCTATAAAAATTGACAAAAAGTTTTTTGATGATTTAAATACACAAGATTTGAGATTTATATGGCAAAAGAAGAAATCAAGGATTAAGTTAAAAATGCTCCAGGAGGTCAATGGGAATGGGGGCTTTTTTGGTATTTGGTATTATTATTTTTTGGTACAACAACCTGATTGGTTGTTGTATTATCAATCATGTGTTTTAATGTGGTTAAAAGAATGGATAACATTAAGAAACAAAAGAATTTTATATCTTGAAGGACATGATTTACAAATGGGATGGCATGCTTTTATGTGGTACGAGAAATGTAAGACACACGGTTACTTTCTATATTAGGGACTCATTGATGTCAGTCTGGAAAAAATTTATACTAAGATGCCAAGATGGCTTTCTCCTATGGAAGCCCTTAGATATCTAAATGCATTAAACTTTAACATGATTGTGAGGTCTGATGATATCTTAGATAATGATGGAAAACTGAAACCAAATCAGAACTACAGGAAGAGGGTATTGATCTTTTTGGTGGCACCAGGTGCAAATACAAATGATTAAAAGATTATATAATTTTCTTTTGGATATGAAAATGGAAGATGAACAAGTTAAGGAAACTATGATAACATGGGCACCAAATTTTGGATATAGTATTCAGCTAAAGAAATGGCAATAGCTGTGGAAAGAAATATTGGAACTTTGGCAACTTCATATAAAGAAAATCTTTATAAAATGTTCTTCTTCTTCTTGTTGTTAGTCACAAAGTCATGTCCAACCCATCGTGACCCCACGGACAACATTCCTCCAGTACTTCCTGTCCTCCACTATCCCCTGGAGTCCACTCAAGCTCACACCAACTGCCTCAGTGACTCCATCTAGCCACCTCATCCTCTGCCTTCCCCTTCTTCTTTTGCCATCTATTATTCCCAACACTAGGCTCTTCTCCAGGGAGTCCTTCCTTCTCATTAGGTGGCCAAAGTATTTGAGTTTCATCTTCAGTATCTGGCCTTCTAAAGAGCAGTCAGGGTTGATCTCCTCTAGGGCTGACTGGTTTGATTGCTATTTGTTGCCGAATAGATTAGCAAAAATGTTCCCAAATATGTCAAATAGATGTTGGAAGTGTAACCAAAAACCTGGTACTTTTTATCATATGTGATGGACTTCTGCTAAGGCAAAAAAATACTGGGTTAAAATACACAATGACTCAAGGAAATGCTGCAAAAACCTTTAATATTCCAACGTGAAGTATTTTTATTAGGCATTATTCCTGAAGATCTTGATAAACAAAGTATATATTTGATCTTACATGTAATTACTGCGGTGATTTGTTCAACATTGGAGGAATGAAGAGTCACCAACTGAAGAGCTGATTCTAAAAAAGATTCTGGACTGTGCGGAAATGGATAGACTGACTCTGTCTTTGAAGGAGAAGGAAGATACATACTTCTATCAAACTTGGAATTTCTTTTATCATTGGTTAGAGAAATGGGACTATATGTAGAGTTGAATATGATTATTAATTGTAATAAGAATAAGATGTCAACCCAGCATGTCTGATGTCTTGGGAATAATTGATGTTTTAATTTAAACTTGTAGAGAAAATAATAAAAATTTGGGAAAAAAAGAAAATGCATTTGTTCACTCAGGTCTTTCCTGACTTCCAATCAGTCACGATGATTTTGTTTTACTGCATTGTTACAATCTGTAAAGGTTTTGTGCTGTGTTTATATTATATGTTTTTAACGTAAACTGCTTGGAAATCCTAAGGGAGTACCCATCAGGACTATGCACAAGCAGCCCCTTCTGCTG